TGGCCGCCAACTGGATTTAACTCCATTCACTACAACTCTCTGGGCTCGGCCATCCAGCCAGTTTTTTACCCAGCGAAGCGTACGCCTGTCTAAGCCATGAGCCACCAGCTTCTCTAGGAGAATGCGGTGTCATGATATCACCGCTTTAGGCAAAGGCTACTAAAAGGAGAAAATAACAAGCAAATTGGTGCTGATGTCAGAACGTTCTGCTCCCTTGTGAGGCTGCCGTTATGCACGCTGCCAAAAACCACGGCCTGTCTCTTAAGTGATTGTATCAGAGCTGTTGTTTCCATAGCGGTGTGTGGAGAGCTGCGAAAGCTACAGTTGCTGTAGGGTAGTTTGGTAAAGCTGCCTTTTGGTAAAAAAAACAAACCACAGACCAACCAACCAAACACCTCCAGAGGTGTCTGCTGTAACCCAAAATTTTCCCCCGCAGCGCGTTGTAAAGCAATTAAAGGTGGGAAGTTGTCTTATTGCCAGAAAGCACCATCAGTGCTGCTCTGCTTTACTTAAATGGTTAAATTAATCAGAAAAACATTCCTCCCTAGTGCTGTTTCCAGCCAGTGCCGTGACTGACACGTATCAAAATCCCATATGCAAACACACATCTACCCACACGCTCCGAAAAAGCATAATGCAATGCAGAGTGTGCACCCAGCGCTCATCACGGAGGATGTCACTCGCCAGTCAGAAGTGAATATTTACACCATAAGTTATTCAAAATGTAGGTGTCGAACTCAGGATAATTTGCAGGTATCAGCTGAACGGTGCTGCCCACCCTAGCGAGAGCTGGCTTTGTTCTAGTTTAGATGGGGTAAATAAGAGGCGGACAAAGCAACGCAACATGGGACATGTTTGGCCTTGAAAATTTAATGAACTCCCATCTCTAGTAATAAGGGGAAACATAAAATCATACTGGTTTATGGTGTCTGACTTCTTAGGCTTACATGGCTGTTGTGTTAACTTTATTCTCATTTTGTTTCCTGACTGGTGTTAGAATGGATACACCCCTCTGCATATTGCTGCCAAGAAAAATCAGATGCAGATAGCTACTACTCTATTGAACTACGGGGCTGAGACCAACATTCTGACCAAGCAGGGAGTCACCCCGCTTCATTTGGCCTCCCAAGAAGGCCACACTGACATGGTGACCTTACTGTTGGAGAAAGGATCCAATATCCACGTGGCAACAAAGGTAACTCACAACCGGAGACAAAAAGGTCTGTGGGTGGGAGTATCCAGCGAGATGCAAAGCGCAGCGTAGGAATGATGTCAGATTATCAGGAATTCTCAGCTTCGCTTCCTTATGTACATATTTGTGAGTCTGCAGAAGTGACAACAGGTGGCTGAACAGTAAAAGCGAGAAGAGGGTATGCAGGACCGGCAGATGGATTGACCAGTTAACTTACGTCACGTAATTAATAGCTGTACTGGGTAATGCACAGGAGGAGCTGCAGCTGTTTGCCATGGCTGGAGGAAACCTGGCTCTGGTTGAGAGGCTACAGGAGGAAAGGCAGGCAGGAGAAAATTTTTCTGAGCATTCGCAGACGTTTTACGCCTGGAGTTTTACATTAGATGCAAAGGAAGAGGAATGTAAAATTCTGGAGTTTGTGGGTCCGTGGGTAGATTTAACAACGTGTATCAGAAACCTGAGAGCTACAGTCTAACAAAGTTCAGTGCTCTTGCCAGCAAAGGTTCTGTTCCTCACATATTTTACCCTTCAGCCTTCTTTCCAAGCGGAAGAAATTGGCAGTGTCTGGCAAATAGCAAAACAACGCGAGTGAGAAAAATCCTATGGAGGACCTTCCCAATTTTTTGTTTGTTTGTTTGTTTTTTAATGATTGTACATGAATTCCTCAAAAAAGATCCATTACTGTAGATCTCCATAGGACACCAGATTTATCCAGGCATGTGTAAGTCGTATTTACTTAAGGTCAAAAGCCTGCAGCTTTTGTTCCTGCAAGTCAAAATAGAAGATTCAAGTCTCTCGTCATCTGGCATTAATGAATTGTACTACCTAAGCAATGAGAAACAAGGCAATTTTAATTTCTCTTACAAAATTTGTTTCCTGCCTTGTCCATAGGCAAGTACTGTGTGTGTGTGATCACAGTGAGCTTTTGGTTAAAGGCTGCATCCCTTTCCTTGGCATCTTTGAATGGGATCTATTTCTGGAAATACCTTCTTCATTCTGACTCATGCCTGCAGTTGTCAAGGTTCCCTTTGCTGTCTGAGGAGTGGGAAGCACAGTGAATGTGCTTCCCTGGTTTATTAATGGGCTGCTTGGCTTCCCAAGTGACATCATTGTATAAAATCTGAGCGTGAGCATTAATGCCTGAAAGTTTTACTCTGTGGTTACGATGATGTAGTTGCTTTGGAGCTGTTTGTCAGCCGGAAGAGGAGAAACATCAACTCTACTTTGTTTTAAAAAAAAAAAAACACCCATACTTAGAAGCTATAGTTAGGATCTCTTCATGTTTTAAAGATGAGGAAGTGGGAAAGTCTAGATTTCCTTTCCTCACATAACGTAGGTTTTATGCTTATTTTAATCTTTATTTATTTATTTAATTTTGTGTATTCCACCCCCAGACTGGACTGACATCCTTACACCTTGCAGCTCAAGAGGATAAAGTGAACGTAGCTGAAATACTCACAAAACATGGCGCAAACCAAGATGCTCAGACAAAGGTAAATCGTGAAGTGGCTACTGTCCCCAGTGTGCTGAAGAGTGCTACCAGTGTAAAAGGAATGTTCCACTGAGCTTGCAGTTTTACTTCTTTGTTTTCTTATTGTAGCTTGGATATACACCTCTAATTGTGGCCTGTCACTATGGAAACATCAAAATGGTGAATTTTCTTCTCAAGCAGGGAGCAAATGTCAATGCTAAAACAAAGGTAAAGAACTTTTCATTGCTTGCTTTTGCTTTTTATTATGAACCTGGTAACCAAACACTATGAATAGGTGCCTTTTCACTAGGAAACTGCATTTGCTGCATGGTAGGTGTCCACACGGTGGTGAGTGGCCGTAGTGGAATGCCTTCTCTCTGCTCCATCTCATTGTGTAGCGTTCACAAAAGAAAAGTCAGGTAACTCTTTGGGCATATGAAAGAAGGAGATAGAGAATCCATTTCATTGGGTTTTTTTTTTCCTTTCGACTTGGAATCTAAAAAACATGAGCTTGTTTCTGATCTCATTTACACATGGTTTACACCAGTGTAATGCCGGTGTGCTGCCAAACCAGTAAGTAAAAATTCAGACACTTTGAGGGTGATGCCAGGTTCT